TAAGCAGTTTTGGTTGTTGGTTACATGACTACATGTTCCATATTTATGGCCACATTACTAGATGCACGGACTACCTGATCTCTCTGTTGATTACCTGTGTATTGTATTGAGTTCAAGCGGAAAGTGATTTCCTGTTACGTAGTTGATGCAGACATATTTCACATAGTGCAGAAGTAGTTTTATAAATGCATTAAGTTGATAAAATGACACGAAAAAATCATCGAGCGGGGGGGGGGGGTGTTAATGATCAATATCATGCAGTATTTGGAGGCGGCATTTTTTCTATAAAAATATGTTAGGGGGCTGGGGCGCTTTAACCAAAATCATGGGACGCTTTGACAGGGACGTTTTTATTATGGGGCGCTTTGACTGGCTTCCCATTTGCACAGTTCTGGCATAATTTCTTGATTAAGCTATATAGCTTGATTTAGCTACATGTATATAGATCTTTATTAAGCTATTAAGAATAGCTTGATTAAGCTATTTTATCACACTTTTTTTTCTCAAATATGTAATTTTTTCTGCATGTGCAAAAAGTAGCAACTTGATGCAGTGGAAATATTAAACTTTGAACTCTTCTGAATACTATATGCATGTTAAAAACACTCACAAAATTGTGTCTCCTTGAGAGACTTTGCACTCAAAGTTTATAAAGGTTTGGGGCTATTTATGAGTGACCACACAGTTATTTCTTGAATGAAATTATAAAGAAGGTCAGTTATGACCAAGAGGATAATTGATTGGTAACAGTTCAGTACAATGAGAAGCAATCATACTTATCCACGCATCATCGCACTCAAGATAAAGCACAGTTACTCAAATAATGGAAATTCTTTTTTTGCTTAAAAGTGGTTTAGATTGACGTATTTTTGATAGCCCATGGTACATATATGAATGTCAAATACTTGCGACTTTTTGTTTATTTCTAGCAAATATCGTTTTTGAGAAAAAAATGCATATAAGAAGCTTTATTCAGCTATTTTGAATAGCTTAATAAAGCTATTTAGCTTTTTAAAGCTATATAGCTTATTCAAGAGATTGTGCTACTCTCAGTCAATCGCAACTTCTCGGGCCTTTCCGACTACTGGGAAAACGACCTCGAATGTACTTGGAAGACGCCACGACAACTCCCCCTTTTCACGATCTTTGAAATAAATACATGGAGACCTTTTATCTGGAGAATATGGGGTTTAACTTTATTCAATGTAATGCTGTTACCTAAAATATACTATAGAAGGGACATCTAACTTCGTCTATTCTATATTTGAATACACAGGAGGATGTACAGTATAAATTCTTAACATCCGGTGATGTTTGTTTTTCCGACCTCTGACGGAAAGACCCGAGATGATGCGATTGACCCTCAGTAAGGGAAGTAATACAATCGCATCATCTCGGGTCTTTCCGTCAGAGATCGGAAAAACAACCTCGAATGTATATGGTAGACGCCATGACAACCCTCCCTTTTCACAATCTTTGAAATAAATGCATGGAGACCTTTTATCTGTGGAATATGGAGTTTAACTTTATTCAATGTAATGGCATTACTTCGAATATTCTACAGAAGGGACTTCTAAATCCGTCTATCCTATATTTGAATAAACAGGAAGATGTATAAATTTTTCACATCAGGTGATGTTGATACATTCGAGGTTGTTTTTCCACTAGTCGGAAAGGCCCGAGAGGTTGCGATTGGGAAGTAATAAAACAATATTTACATCCGGTGTGTATAAAAGTAAGAAGAAACTATTGTAAGTTCCAGAAAGGTTAAGGGATTTATAGTGGAGGATCCAGCATTCTACAAATGGCATGAGGTCATATATGTTGCCTTCAAGGCGTAACTTGTGAACCAAAGTACGAAGTTGACATTACCATATACTATAGTATATTTAAGTCCGTGGTATTAGTTTTATTACCTCTAAAATTTTTATGCTGAATAAATTAAAAGTATCCAACCAAACCTGTGTATGATTTTTTTTTATCTAACTAAAATAAATGAATAGATAAATAACGTAAAAAAAAAAATAGAGAAAAAAAAATCAATAGATAGACGTACACTGCACCACTTGATCAAGTTTTACCAATATCATTGTATTTTTTCTTCTTGTTATTAGCAAACATTACTATCACACTATAATATAAAACATTCACGTGCACTGACCAGTTAAATGTTGCACTTGTTCTGGACAACATGGATATTTAACATTTCATTTTTAATTTAAGAAATCTTGAAAGCTAGTAAAATTGCCCACAAAAGTTTTACAAAAACATGTAATACATTCAAGGCCGTAACTAGGCTCTAATTTTTAGTGAGGCAAGGATGTTGGGCATGCATTCCTAGTCCCTGACAGTACAAGGGTAGTACCTTATGGCCAGTGATGGGGGGTTCCAGGGGGAAGGGGGGGTCCTGAAACCTGGATATTAGAAAATAAAATATTTAATTTTTTAAATTAGGTGTTGAATCGACTCGTCGGCCGCATGGCACATTAATTAGAGTGTATGCTCTCAAGTCGCAGACTATGGAGTTGGTCCTTACGCCGCGGGTTCGAATCCCACTGCGGGATGTAGAGACCAGTCCTTCGGATGAGACCGTATAAACAGAGGTCCTATGTAGGTGATGGCACAAAAAAATTCTCACTGTTTAATCATCTTCATTGACCCTGTAAACCCAGTACAAATTTAAAACTTGCAGCCCTCCACCGGCAAGTAGTGGTGTCTCAATATGAGTGAGAAATTTTTTGAAAGGATTTTAAACAATCGAACAATTTACAAAACAACATTTTGAATCATATATAACGTGAATTCAAAATGAAAATGAGGCTTTTGGTGAAATGAATGATTTACAGAAATTGAGAAAAAAGTTGAAAATATTATTTAATTTTGCATGAAGACACGCATAATTGATAAGTTCAATGCATGTAAACTTTTCACTTTTCATAAAACTCTAAAAAATTTAGTGAGGCATTTGCCTCACTTGCCTCAATGGTAGTTACGGCCTTGACATTAGAAGAAACATATGTTGACGCAAGCGTCAAAAATCGGCCGCAGATCAATTAATTGTTCCTTTCATGAAGTAATTATAGAAACTGAAATTTGCGTGTCCTGTTATCAAAATTTCTTTTATTTATCTGTTAAAATATCTCCTTGACATGAAACACTTCCTACGACATTGACGATTTTCTTCATGAATATTACATGTATAAGCAAACTATATAGATCTCGGGTGGAAGTTTGATGTTTATGTATATAGTTTTTACCTAAAAAGTACAAAACTAAATTTTAAACTTAGCTATAACTATAGATAGCTTTACTTTCATAAAAACGCAACAAATATGTGGGCTCCTCGCTAGCTCTCATAAGATGTTAACCACCACCCCCATCCTAACTCCCTTTAGATTCAACACTACATTTTCTCATTGTTTTGCTGTTGAGATGTGGCGGGAAATGCCAAGGCACATTGTAAAACGCGCTTTGTCCTTGTCTCCTGGACCAAAATCTCGTACGATTCTGTGCTTTTAAGAAAACAATATTTCATCATATTTTTAAACATTTAGACAATCTTTGTTTAAGAATAAAAAATATTTTTATTTAATAAATTGTTTTAACTCCGCAGAAACGCACGACGACTTCAAACTTTCATATCAAACAAGGAGAGCTTTTTAAAAAAGCTTACCGTCGTTAGCAACAATCTTAAACAGTAAACTGATCTACACCTATCAGGCCGCATAATTCTTTTGAATTTTCTACATTAGCTTTTTACTGGCATTAGCCCCAATCGCAACTTCTCGGGCCTTTCCGACCTCTGACGGAAAGACCCGAGATGATGCGATTGGCATTAGCCCTACCACGGTTGTCGCTCGGTCATATCCGTAAACTTTGACTGGCCGAGAGCTTTCGGCAAACCTCGGCTGATTCCATTCCCTTCTTCAAACAAGAAAGGGGAAAAGAATAATAACAAATTGTAAAGCCTGCAAGCAATAAAAATCAAAATTTATTTATAATGAAATTAAAGAGATCTTTTTATTTATTGCTATACAAAAAATCATGTTATTAGGAATTAATTACTGCTGATTTTGTTGTTCGTTTTGTCATTTTTTTAAGATTGAAAATCTTGCAAAATTGTTGTCGTACGAAAATTAGATCATCAGAAAGTTATCTCCCTTGCCTTGAACAGCATTTCAACCAATGAAATAATTGAAAATTTTCTCATCATGCATTTTCTACCAATCACAAAAGAGAGGAAGTGCATAGTCCGAAGACTGTAAAAAACTTCAACTATACAATACCGTCTTCCAAGTCCAACTCCTGTCGGCCGGTAATAACATTAAAAAACACTTTATTGTTTTACTGATTTAAATGTACAAGTATTAAGTATTAAATTTGACGTAATGATTATGAATTTTAATGTATAATTTTCGATTTTTGTGCATAACTACATTTTACCCACCTGGTTAATTTTAAAACATGGAAAAGGGGAAAACCTCATGGGATACTTGATTCACTCCAACACAAGGCGATGAAACATTATGAAACCTTATCAAGAATAATGCAAAGTTCTTCTCTCCCTCTCTTTCTCTCTCTCTCTCTCTCGTACAAATGCCGATGGCATCATAGTCCAACTGACGTCACAAAGCTACTAACGTCATAATCAGATTTCAGTTGACATTGTTTGTGCACACAGCGAAAATTCAGTCTAGATTTTTTTTTTGTGGAAAATGGAAGTAAAATAAGGAGAGGTAGGTTTCTTTTTTATCTTTATAAAATACTTATAGTTTATAAATGATAATTACTCAGACGAGCTTACTGAGGTACGCTCGCATCTCTTTGTAAAAATAACCAGAAGAAATTGAGTTTATATTGAGACATAAATAATTCGTGTTTCAATTGTTTGACGTCATAATACCAATGACGTCACAATATCAAGGTCGTCATTTAATGCTGTTTGCATTATTCTTGGTTACCGTGTAAATACTGTCTTTCACTGTTCGTTGTTCATTACAATGGCCAGTTCATCAGAGGTAAGTTATGCTACATGTAAATGTTTTAAAACATTCACAATTAAACCGACCTAATATAATCTATTTTTTTAAATAGACTAGTATAATAAGATAAATGAGTCTAACTGACTTTTTGTATTTTTATCGTAGAGCTCTGACAAGCTGAGGGAATTCGAAAGTCTTAGGGACTTTGACTACCAGGAATCAGAAATGGTAAGAAATAACATTGTTTTATATACATGTATTTTCATTAAAACTTGTATGACCTTTACAATATATATTTACTGCCTGAGCCAAAAACCATACACATTTTACATTTAATTTGGTTTTAGATAGTGCGAAGCATCCTTGATGGTATATTGGACAAGGTTTGCAGATTTTTCTCTGCTACCGAGTACAGGTATGTAAATGTATATAAAGACACTAAAATTATTTTTAATGTTATTATCATGCGTCGGGTACACATATTACGCCAATGCTAACATCCATTTATCGTGTATAGTTCCGGAAATGTGTAAGGTTATTTGTTTATTTCTCTCAGCGTTGGCAAAGAACAGTCAGTTCTACTGCAAGCTTCAGACAACAGAATCAAAGCACAAAAGGATTTGTACCAAGAGCAAAGAATAACAGCCAAAAAGGTAAAAAAAAAAATAATGGCTTTACATGTGTATATGAAAATGAAGATGAATGTATCGTGCTTTCCAGGAATAACAATATAACCCCCTACCCCCGTATTAATATGCTATAGAGGACATCAATTTTTCGCGACTTTTTTTTTTCGTTTTTCGGTTTTTATCGGCGAAACAAAATTTTCACGAGAATTTTTTTTCTGCACACATCCTTTGCAATTGAAAATATATACCAGAGTTAAATCCTCTCTGTTAATATGTGAACATAAAAGTTTAACAAGTAGTGGTTTACATTTGTAAGCCTACAATTCCTTTACCATTGCTTTAATAATTTCTCAAAGAAAAAAAGCACAATTTACTCCTTAAAATCTTTAAGTTCAGAAGAGCGCAATGAACTAATTGTAATTTATTATCAGTCAACAGATATTCCGCAGAGTTGCTCGGGAAACTGTACGGGACTTAATAATACATGCAACTAAACAGGCTACCACAAGGTAAATGATTTATAATTGAACATGTTACATTCTTTAAATCAAGTCATAGTAATCTCTCTTTTGCCTTTCTAAGCCAACAGTATGCCATTCGAACATTTCAAGAGCATATATGCTTTGATGGGAAACAATGTTAATATTATATATATATTGTTATGATGCATTATTTTCAAAGCATGTAGAAATTTTTTTTTTTTGCTTTTAGCCCAAACAAAGGACAGTCAGCTATTCCCCCATTCAGATTTGCAAATTATGACACACAGAAATTGAAAATACAAAAGGTATCTATTGAACAGAGATATTTATCTCAAATACATAATATATTTCATATTATATTTTGTATACTAGTCCTACCATCTCTGACTATGGTTTTCTCTAATAATGATGTTTTGTTTTTACTTTCTGTAGGTCAAGGTCATGATTGGCTCGGAGATTGTCCACTACTCACTCACCTTTTCGACCAGACGTGCAACATGTGCTGAAGTAGCGAGCATGGCGACACAGAGGTCTCTTGAAGACCACTGGAAAATGATTCCAAAGGTATGAAAGATTTTGGTAGACTGACGCGTATTCTTCTAAAATATAAACCCTTATGTAGGTAAATGTAATTTATCTCCTCAAATATTTTTTGTAAATTATTGGGATGCATCTACGTATGTATCTATATACTATATACTATATACAGGGTTTATTTTCGACCTGTGTTATTTTCGCTCTATCACATTTGGAAACAAGTTTGCCCGTTTTAAATTTGCTCAGAAAGATTTTTGTTAGAGATATTATACTATTTACTTTGAATTCGCCCAACTTTGAATTTGCCCCGTTTTAAATTCGCCCACTTCCGACGAGGGCGAAAGGGGCGAAAATAAAACGGGGGCGAAAATCTCCCTGTATACAGTATACAGTTGGAATCCATTATCTCGAATTGTGTTATATCGATCCCCCATATCTCGAATATCAAGGATATGCTGAAGTGAGTTAACTGTCCCAACCATATTTTTTCTTTATATTTTTACCCTCATGATCATTGCTCGGATATTCCTATAAGTTTTATCCAATGAATTTAACGATAATAAAGTTTGACTATTATAGAGATTACATGTATTCTTTTTTCGTTGACAGCCATTGTACAAAGCTCCAGAGAAAACTGTTCCTGATCCTACGATCCGAGCTCCACCTGACTGTAATATTCCTGGGTATGTATGTGTCTTTATTGTTACTGCCTGGCTTGAAAAACAATAGACAAAATTATTGTCTATCATTTCCTTCGTATGTCTCCTATTTGGCTGCTATTGCAGGCTTGCAGCTTGTATAGTACACATATCACGTGAAATGATATACATATTTAGTGTTTTTAATCATTGTAGAAGGAAACAAACAAAAATATAATTTATGTGATTTTTTAAAATCTTTTATTTATAGCACTGCGACTTTCCCAGACCCAGATAACAGGAATGAAATGGTACGTATTTGACATATTAACGCGTTTGTAACTTATTACGTTTTTGATTGTTTTAAAAAGTTAAACGAAAACGTTAACCCCCACAACATTTGTAGTAATATGAATAAATTTTGACTTATAGGAGGACGATCCCGAGCCAAAAGGCTGGAGAAGGTTATTGTGTTGTGGCAATCCACAGAAAAAACAGGTAAACACCCACTCCTTTTCATCTCAATTTCATTTTCAATTTTTTTCCCTTTGAGAATTCTGATTTTAACAAACTTGATCTTGTATGTAATGCAGGATTTTTACATACATTTGACATTGTATACCTTTAATTTTTTAGCAGAAGAAAGAGAAGAAGGAGAAAACTGGATTTCTGAGCAGATTACTCCGCTTCTTTAAACGTTGATAAATTATATTTTATTATTGTGTGAATGTTCTTGTTTCTCCTTTAAGAGTCTGAAGAATACCTTTCACTGAATCATAAGTTATACTATTTCATATGGATTAGAAAATTAACTTTTTATGACCATCATTATGAGAACTGAAAAATTTGAATTTCATCAAAATAAATTTTATCTTAATGTTCTTGTGTATTTGTTTTTATTTTCAAATTGTTTTCATCATACATGTATAACACCTTATGAAGTATTGCCTTATAAACATGGAGAGGTAAAATATCAGACGATCACAGATTTACCATTCACTCTCAATAAAATCCCGTAGTCTGTAGTGGCCAGTACAGTTGTAATTTTCCTATTTGTCTTAAGTATCAAGTACTTTTAGTATCCACTTAGGAACACTTTCAGGTGACATGTTTGTTAGGGATTTCCTGTTCTCTATCAATTTATGGCGTGTCGAGTAAGGGTCAATATCAGTTACTAATGATATCAATTGTTCACCACGGTGATGGAAAATAGATTCTACAAGTATTATGAAAGCTAAGTGGTAATGTTAGAATGTTAGTGTGTTTACATCACGTACATATATCAACCGTTATTATAGAAATTGATAAACAAGTCCCTAGAAGAATATCTGGACATTTTTGTTGAGATGAATTATAAAGATGATGTTATTACCTCATGCAGAGAGAGAGAGAGAGAGAGAGAGAGAGAGAGAGAGAGAGAGAGAGAGAGGCTAATACTTAAAATAAAAACTTTGACCTTGTAAAAATTCATTTCAGATAGATATAATTATATGTGAGAGATATACTGAAAGACACCTTGCATAAATAGTACTCTGACGAGGCGGAATTTGATTTTGAGAAAATAAAAAAAACAAGCACACAATCGTTTCCATCCTTAAACAGTGAAGTACTTCTTCCTGAAATCGGTGACATCACACAATAAACCGTCACATGTCATATGTAAGGAAAACCCTTTAAAACTGTAAAGAGAAAAACAAAGTAAATGAAATTCGTACCTATCACAACATATAAGGATGTACTGTTGCTTCGATGCACGAAACGATTCCCAGGAAGTGTGTGAGACAGTAAATTTAACATGATATTGGAAAGAATAACCAACAAACTGTGAATGAAATATAGATATTCCTTGTGGAAAACACTGACACCATTTTATCTTGAAGTTTGTCTATGAACACACAAATGGAAAATGCTACATACACTATTCACGAATCGGGGATTCCAACATACGTGTTTTTCGCCTTTGGATTTGTGGGCAATGGGCTAGCTCTTGTTGTTATTTGTTGCAACCGGGAACATCACCAATGGCGATCCTTCTACATTTTCTTCGTAGGTCTAGCAATGTCTGACTTTCTGAATCAGGTGATAGTATTCCCATTCGAAGTCTTACGGTATGGATCTAATTTCAATTACACTATTCCCCCACATCTTTGCAAGGTTGAGTCATTTATCTACTCTTTCACCCAAATTTCCTCAGGCATGATCATTTCCGGTATAGGCACGGACCGATACATTTTTTTAAGTAACCATGGACAACCACACGACACGATGCTGTGGAATCGCCGAAAATATCTTGTTTGTCTGCTGGTGATATGGATTTTTTCGGCCCTTGTGTCATCACTTCATTTGTTTGTAGGGAATAGCGCGATCTTTTATCCCGGGTCCTGGTGCTTTATTGACGTGATGGACAAGGGTATTGGATCTGTATTTAGTGCCACAGTGTACGCTTTAACAGGGATTGTGGTCCTTGTGTATACTGTGTACATTTATATCTGCGTCATGTGCATGTCGTGTAGAGACCCTGAACAACGCGGTAGACTTCTGGACGCAGACCGTGTAACTGGCTTTTACGACGTTCATGTCAATGTGTTCTTGGCGACTTCAGTGACGCTTTATGTCGTCTGTTGGGGACCATTTTTGGTAAGTGTTGCCAAGAAGACTTGCAAAAGTATGAATTGTTATGATGAACACAATGAAATACATTTTCTTTCATAGAGACTACGTATTGTATAAATTAAAAGAAATGACGTGTTAAACATGTTAAAAATTAAACATAAGAATTATTTCTTCATAATGCACATCAACTATTCATTAAAACTTAAAAAAAATCTTTTGTAGATGGACATATTTTTACGAGGGATCAAAGTAATACCTGGTTGTCCAGGTAAACTTGAACTTTGGCTTGTTCGACTGATAGACCTGAAGTCCAATGTGAACCCCTGGCTTTATGTATTACTACGCAAGGAGTATATAAGAAGGATCTTTGTTCGATTTCAGTCATGCCATGAGGGGAATATTCAAACAGCGCCCCCTGATGGAGAAAGCAAGAGGCTCCTACAGGAGAGTCAAATAACTTTCTCAAATCCTTCAAGTCAGTGTTCTAACTAGATATGCAAAACTGACTGATCTTTACTAACTATTTTCATTATTTATTATTTTTTAATTTTTTTAAGCAAGATTATTAAGAAATCATCAGATGAGGTATCAGGGTTGAAAATCCCACTGATTCCTCTTATAAAATTGTGCTCAAGCATTAAATTATTAGTACTTCCCAGAAAAGCCTAATCTAAATAAAATTATTTGAAATGCAAATTTGGAGAAGGGGGAATCTTTTACAATAATGGACTTTTAAACTTTGCAGTATCATATAAAAGACTGGAACACTATCTCAAGCGAGAGTTACCGCGGGTTACTTCTTTTAGATTTCGATGATGAATCTAGAAATCAGCATTATACATCAATCTATTCATCAAACGAGTTCAAAATTTAGTCAAATAACGAAATAGGAAAAATTTTGTCTCAACAGCTGAACATCAAGTTACTTTTATAATGTACATGTACATACTGTAAAGAATTTATCATAATCACCCAAATAGGCAATAAACCTTACCAATAGTTAATGCAGCATGCCAGCAATAAGAGTTTCCGCGATAGCCAGCAGCATAGCTTAAGAAACGAAAAATCAAAAGAAAATTGAAACAACAAAAACTCGTCTTTTTTGTTGTACTAGCCAAATAACAGGCATTTACTGTTAATGAATAATTATTATAAACCATTTACAACAACATACATATTGGAAAATAAAAGCTTAAGCATAACGCATTCCAAAATACCGGTGAAATCCAAAGATCCAACTCCGAACATTTTTAAACTACTGATTATGAAGCATTTCATTTACTCTTTTTGAAACTAATTTATTTCTTTTAAACCATATGGAAAGAAAAAGTTATCATGCATTTGTGATTTTTACATAACAATCCTTTGATTTATTCATGTTTATTCGTATCTTTTCTAGTACTAAGTTGCTCCCCCTTTTTCATGGAAAAACAGTTTTATTGCCCACAAGCATGTTATGATTAAAGCTTTCAAAAAAATTATATGGGAGTAAGGAATCATATTTACTCCTGTGCCTTCCTCAGATCCCGTTAGTCTTTGGAAAATACTATCGTTTGTCTTTAGTTGGACAAATGTGTTCTAAGTTTGGATAAAAATCTGAACAAGTTTTTGACCTCTATAGTGTAAACACTTAATAGTATTGCATTTGAGAAAATTTCTTGCGTTTTGGAGCTAAGCTTTGAAATGATGCTTATCAATAAATACAAATCAGAAATATCAAACAAGCACGTGTAAGATACATGTCTTTTATCTTCATCTGAACATAGAAGAATTTGTCCAACTCAATATAGCTTCTGCACATTCACAGCTTAAATAAAGACTTGCAAAAATACTAAAATAGAAAGATCTTTGTTAAAAAGATGTCAAGGACATAAAAAAGATAATTATGTGTATGTAAAAAGCACACCTAACAGAAAATATGCTTAATTCCCAGAGGTTTTCTTGGAATAGTTTATTTAGTCATGTCTTTCGTATTAAGGCTGCTACTCGTGCAAAAGTGGAAGCAAATAAACATGTAATAGAAAGAAGATATAATACTTGCATATAAAACTTGTAATAAATATATTATGTCCTTTGTTTGCTTTTTTGTTTAGTACCAAAAAATTCTTTCAAAAATGTGCATCTTCGAAGTCACATCTAACAGATATATTGATTGATTGTGTACTGTTTAGCGTCCCTCTCCAGAATATTTCACTGATATGGAGACGTCACCATTAATTGCCGGTGAAGGGCTGCAAATTTACGCCTATGCTCGGCACTTACGGCCTTTGAGCAGGGAGGGATCTTTATCGTGCCACACCTGCTGTGACACGGGGCCTCGGTGTATACGGTCTCATCCGAAGGACCGCCCCATTTAGTCGCCTTTTACGACAAGCAAGGGGGCACTGAGGACCTATTGTAACGTGCAAGGAAGGTCACTGCCTGTGAACCCCCGCAGGCTCGTACCCGTGATAAAAACGGATAGCCTTGAGATGCTGCAAATATGTACAATGCGCAGTCTTAATCAGTTGGTACTGCGTTATATAAGGTCTTTACTGGTAGCGAACAAGTGACACTGGCAGGGAAGTCCACACACCAGCGCACTTCCACAAGAGACAAGCAGGGATGACCGCACACTTGCCCTTGCGCAGTGACAAGCAGGGATGACCACACACTTGACACTAATACGGTTCTAGCCTAGAGACACTGGCAGGGATGTCCGCACACCTGATCTTGCGCAGCAACAAGCAGGGATTTCCGCACACTTGCTGCTAAGAGATGCCAATTACAGAGCAGGGATGACCACACACTTTGTCAAGTAATAAGCAGGGATGACCGCACACTTATCACTTATCACAGTACAATATAAGCAGGGAAGTCCTCACACTTATATGCAGTAACAAGATTTGTCGAGTTTTACCTCTAGAACCTCTCCTTGTAATCATCGCCAGTAAAAACGCTATATATCCTAACACCATATATAATACATAGTGATTATTTATTTACAAACTAATTAAAACACTTATCAAGCTTCCAATCAACAAATCTTTAGTAACCCAACTAAAGAAACAAAGATTATTATTGATACCTTTAATTCAAATTCAACACTAATTAAGTATTTGTTTTTAACGCACATGATAAGCAATTAAAAAAACAAGGGCGATAACTTTCGCTATAATAAACATATAGAAAACAGCTTTCCGCTTCATCACCCCCACCCCAGTTTTATGCGTCCTCGCATAAGAAAACATACAACGGCTTTTAAGAAAATCTAACAAAAGCGGAATTACAAATAAAAAAATATTTACATTGTATTCACCATTCTGCAAAATAAAAAATATATATAAAAAATATTTTACTCAGCAGAATAGCAAGAACAATGCAACCCTTCGACATTTACCATTGCGCAAAGCAAAATGCAATATTTTGCTTAACCCAGTGGTAAACAAAACCAATCAGGTTCGCTTGCTGGCTCAGGTGCTTCTAATAACAAATAGTCTTCATGCCAGCGCGGAGGATGGTGCTTGCGCTTATTCTCAACTTCATCTTCAGTATGACCCCTGTTTTTATGCTCCTGAGATTCGTCCTTTGTCTCAAGCACCATTCCTGTACTATCTGCGTCTTCTTCTTTCAAAGATACCTGCCAGTATCCCCAACACAAGCGCAGAGTTGAAAACCATACATTTCCAGAAGGTCTATCCAGCGAATCATCAATCTGCGCCAATGGGTAGGCATATTTTATGGTCAGTCCATTCAATTTCCGGTAGTCAACACAGAAGCGAATACTGCCATCTTTCTTTCGGACTAAGACAACGCCTGCTGCCCAGGAGCTAGAGGAGCGCTCTATAACCCCGTCTTCCAGCATATCATTTACATGCTTGTCTATTTCTTCGGCAGCATGGAAAGGGACACGACGCAAAGGTTCCTTTATGGGATGAGCATTGCCAACATCATTTCTATGCTCAACCACATTGGTCGTACTTAACTCAGAGTTACTGAGTGCAACCGCATGGGAGTACTGTGGCAAAAATTCTCTCACTTTACTTATCTGGCCCTCTGTCATATCGGCACTACTGCGCTTCAATAGATCTTCAAGTTTTTCATGCAAGGCAGAGTTATTCTTCGTCTTCCTCTCAGCCTGTACGGTGCAGACGGATGACATTTCCGCAATGTGAGTGCCACTGTAAATGGTATGATTTTCTGGTCCCATGTTCAGCATTCGAATTGGTACAACTCTATCTGCTCTGACTAAGGTCCTCCCTACAAGAGTACCTGTCGACGCAAACTTTTCATTTGGTTCCTCTAGACCATGCATCATTGGAATGCTTTTGTCCTCCGGCGCCCCTTGTCTCCCCTTTATGATTTCCTCTTGATTTGTTGGAAGTGTGACAGTGTTCGGTGCTACGATGCGATAACACCCATAACTTCCTTCTTTTATCAGGTCGTATTGTTTTCCCTTGATGCGCATTTTCTTCTTGGTCACATCGATTGCGCATCCATTTTCTTCCAGAAAATCAAGGCCCATAAGTCCATCATTGCTCAGGTCTGCAACGACAGCATCCAGTTTGCAAGAAAACCCTCTTATCTGTGTTGGAAAGGTTCCCTTACCGCTTATCTGGAGACAGTTGCCACCAGCATCCAGTATATCACGACTGAATGAGTCAAGCCTAGGTCGGTCCTCTTCTGGAATTCTACTCATCAGTTCAGTAGATATTAGGCTGACTGTCGCACCTGTGTCTACCAATAGCTTCGCCTTTACGCCACAGACGTCCATTTCAAGGAATAGGCCAGCGTCCATTCCGACTGGACTTGCTCCTATGGATGCTTTCTGTCCGGTTTTGACACTTCTGCTGGAGGACTTGGCGTCTTTTGCCTTTGCACCATAACTTTCTGGACGGTCTCTAGTAGAGTACGTAAATGGATGTTTAGCTTTCCTTTGCGCCTGAAAAGCTCTGCAATCCTTGCGTAAATGTCCCGGCTTACGGCAAAAGTAACATCTTTTCTGTGTCCCCAATGTTTGGTTTGCTTTCCATGGTCGGGATTGCTGTGAACTTTCATTGCGCTCTGCTTTCATTTCTCTGAGTTCTCTTTGCATAGATTCAAACTTTGCGCTTAATTCTTCGAGCATTGAGACAGTCTTTCCTTCAACGGATTCAACGGTAGTTGGGCGCGCATAGTTCTTTTTCTCAGCTTTGTTGTAAGCTTCTAATTCGACAGCCAATTGTATAGCTTCATTAAGATGTTTAGGACGCGCCTGCTTTATGCGGATGCGCATTTCCGAGTCGATCAATGCGTCCACAAATTGGCCTTTCGAGAGCGTTTCCCGAATCTCAGCTGATGCAGTGGGGTAGGCTAAGTTGGCAAGTCGGCGAATGGCCTGTCCTAACTCCGGAAGAGATTCTCCCGCTCTTTGGCGTCGCTCACGCATCTGCACCCTGCATAGCTCAGTTTGACTCGGAGGTGCAAATCGGTCTTCAAGGGCTTTTACAAGTGTCTGATAATCTGGCTTTGCCCCTTTTGGCATGTTACCTAGCACTCCTTGCGCACTTCCCCGAAGAGAAACTGCTAAATAAAGTCCTTTCTGATGATATTTCCATCCACTTATTTCCGCACATGTCTCGAAATGCGCATGATAATCCAACCAAGGACCACTGCCATCATACGTTGCTGGCTTTATCATTTGTCTTTGCGCTGGAAACTCTGCTAGCGCGTCGTCTCCGCTATGAGGACTTGAAAATCTAACTCTGGATCTCCTTCTTGTTATCCCAGGGAGAAGAGAATCGTCTTGATCGTCTCTGTAAAGTTGTTCAGGACGAAGTCTACGCCAATGTTTGTCGTTTTGCGCCGCTTCCCTATCGAATCTTGTAGAAGACTCTGAATGAGTGTAATCGCGAGGTCCCTCTCCGGCTTCTCTAAACATATCCCTGAGAGATTGTCCTGTAGACTTTTCTTCAAGGATAGGTGCGTGCTGGGTTAGCGCACCATCATGTTCAAGCGCTAATGACTTTTCTTCTGTCTGCCGCAATTCTCCGGAGATGCGAGATTCGCCAACACCCGAGTCTCTTACTTTGTCTTTTATACGCGGGGTCACTGGAGTCGACGACTTGAAACTTCTATTCCTGATGCTTTCCTCCTTAAGCTCAGCAAGCCTCTCTTCTATCAGAGATAATTCTTTGTCTACGTCTTCCATTGCTCAGCTATCTCAAGGTATCCCACCGCTGCCACCAAATTTTTTGGACCGTGCAAGGAAGGTCACTGCTGTGAACCCCCGCAGGCTCGTACCCGTGATAAAAACGGATAGCCTTGAGATGCTGCAAATATGTACAATGCGCAGTTGGTACTGCGTTATATAAGGTCTTTACTGGTAGCGAACAAGTGACACTGGCAGGGAAGTCCACACACCAGCGCACTTCCACAAGAGACAAGCAGGGACGACCGCACACTTGCCCTTGCGCAGTGACAAGCAGGGATGACCACACACTTGACACTAATACGGTTCTAGCCTAGAGACAGTGGCAGGGATGTCCGCACACCAATGCTCTACCACAAGATGCAGGCAGGGATGTCCACACATCTGATCTTGCGCAGCAACAAGCAGGGATTTCCGCACACTTGCTGCTAAAAGATGCCATTTACAGAGCAGGGATGACCACACACTCTGCCAAGTAATAAGCAGGGATGACCGCACATTTATCACTTATCACAGTACAATATAAGCAGGAAAGTCCGCACACTTACATGCACTAACAAGATTAGTCGAGTTTTACCTCTAGAACCTCTCCTTGTAATCATCGCCAGTAAAAACGCTATATATCCTAAAACCATATATAATACATAGTGATTATTTATTTACAAACTAATTAAAACACTTATCAAGCTTCCAATCAACAAATCTTTAGTAACCCAACTAAAGAAACAAAGATTGTTATTGATACCTTTAATTCAAATTCAACACTAATTAAGTATTTGTTTTTAACGCACATGATAAGCAATTAAAAATAACAAGGGCGATAACTTTCGCTATAATAAACATATAGAAAACAGCTTTCCGCTTCACTATTCTCACCCGGAACCCCACGGGGCTCTAACAGATACAGGTTAAATGTTTTTGAGCTGTATTTCGTTCATATCAACCAATTACATTTCAAGTAATTATTAATATTACGATGTTTAAGGTGATTTTCAGAAAAAAAAATTGCAACAGGGTCATCATGAAAATTAATTCCTGACGTACAAAATACCAGTAAAATGTATTCAACAAATATAAAGAACCAAAAGAAAGAAGTTGAGGATTTTGGTCTTTGTCATCAACAGGACAGTATATAGGCTATAAAAATTATGACAATACAGAAAGGAATTTATACATAATATGGCATTCGATTATAGAAAACAAAGAATAATTTGATCGAGATATGAGAGGAGCAAAGAAAGATTGACTAACAGTACCAGAAGCACATCAGTGTCCAACACTTCACTCTGCTTTCACATTTATCACGACTAGCTTCTCAAGCTTTAAGGGGACATCTGTCGCTTTGTTGACATAACCTAAAAACAAAAGATCATTGTATTAAAGAAGTAGAACACCTATAGTCACATTAACCTCAACTAGGCTTCTTAAGATCAAACTTAATTTAAAGACTGTATACTTAAACATGTTAAACAAAGGAATTTCACGTGTTTTCCTTATCAAGAAGTCAAGAGGTATAAGTACTAGTAGTACATGTAGCATGTGTGTTTTTTCATAGTTTTGATACGTTTTTCTCGGCTTAGTTTTCAAAACAAATATTAGATTCACTCTAGTGCGATGATTTTAAGAAAACGTGAACATTTCATTATTGATCAGGATGCTGTATAAGGATGTCAGGAAATATCAGGAAGTTGTTCAAATAACATTCTTTATACTACGTATTTGAAAAAAAATATGAGTAAGACCTTTGTGATAAAGTTTCCTTGTTTTTTGTTTTTGAAAAACTAATCATTTGCTAAATTGATCTAATTCAGTCACAATTTAAGACTTACTTGAAAGTAGTTCTCTTAGATTGAGCCATACAAAACCCCAGAGGCTTACCTTCCCCCCATAGCTATACTTCACCTGAATGTTTCCAAAGAGAGGGAGCTGACCACCTAAAAATGATGATGGAAAAGCTAAAGTCATCTCCTTTGTTTTTACTGTTTAATAAGTTTATAATTGGTCCTTAATTTGGTCTCAAATAATTGGAACTTTAAATGTAAAACAAATGTGACTGACACACTGATGTTTTTTCGGAGGTTAGAAGGGTATTTGAATGGACGTAACTATCATTAATTGATAAAATATCCTAGATATATATGAGGATGAATTGAAGGCCAATACAGTGTTTTCTAGATATTATGTACATGGTTTTGTTTTACCTCTTTTTCGTAGGATTAAAATAAATCGATTTATAAATCATTTCATATATTAAGATATCTTACATGTATATATATATGTAATATCATGTCTTTTGTCATAAATTATCAAAAGTTTTACTGAAAAAAACTCTTTAATTAGAATAAGCTATTATTTTAATTATGCATTTAGTATTTTAATGTTCTTTAAAGTCATTAAATTGTGAGGAGAGTCAATGTCAATCAGTCAAAGGTCAAATACACATGTACTAGTATCTCACCTATAGCTGAGCAAAAACACATTATCCGACAATAAACATTGATTTGTCGACATTATGACTATTTACAATAATGTTGAGCATTGCTTTACAAACACCTGCTACTTTATGATGTTACAAACATTTTATATTAGTCATAAAAGTGTTTATTCAATTGTTTGGAGATTGAAGTTGTGTGCAGTAAGCCGTGCAGTAAACTCGTCAGGTAGAAAGAAATCACATTGCCCAGAAGAATATGATATTTAAAGAGCAGCAGCTAAAATATAAATTATATATGTATTGCGTTATCTTGGAATGGGTTATCTTGGTTTGTCCTTAGAACGACAGTGTGGTTAATGGTCAAATGTACTGTATATTTGGATAAGATAAGTAGTTTTGCGTTTATTTATTATAGAAAGCCAAAAAAAAAAAAAAAATCTTGAATTTTAAATTTTTATTAATTTAGATTTCTTTTGATATTAATATTTTAAATGGATGTTTTTTTTTTAGATATTAATTCAATGCCCGAAGTCAACTTTCTCTAATTCAACCCTTTTTTCTTTACTTCATCTCAAATGTCGAAATCTTAAAATCCCTAGACAGGCGCTAAATGATAAAGGAATGCGCACTATCAAATATAATCCTTTATTGGTTCAAATAATATATATATCACTGAATGATAGAATAAAGCACCAGTTAGGGTCAGAGCACTCTATAACACGGTATGAAAATATATGTTACTTGGTTACAAATGATGAAAGAACAGAGGGCGTTTTCTGATGAAAAAATATGCAATAAAGAATTTGATTTAACTTTCAAAAATTGTATGTATCATTTTCAAAGCATGATTTCGAAGTTAAGCTTGCGTAAATAAAAAGCATATTTTTGTCAGTAAGGATTTCTCGGGCTATCTTACATATCAAAGATTTGACTTTGAACTGAATGCAGCTACGTGCATTTAATCATTTAACATATATCTTGACAAGTAAATGAAAAAAAAACCCTTTTCGTTTAGGATGCCTTCTTTTAGTAACATTATATTTCAGCGTCTTGAATAGGAGCATAAGGAGGAGTACTAGAAGTAGAAGTAAAAAAGCAAGCCATTTCTTTTTCGAAGTAATGTGATTGCTTAAAGAATTATTTTAACAAAATTAACAGTGTAGGACAGAAACTGTAATCATGCTAAAATTAAAGTTTATAAACATGGAACCCCCTGACGTCTAGGAAGTACCTTGGAGGAGTAACCATACTTATCCGTATACATGTACGTAGTTAGGAAAACTCGGTAATCGAATGTCTAGAACTGTCTTACATTTGGTATGATACATGTTATAGCCAAAATATATGTACAACCCAACGACACCAAGATATTCAATTGTAAGGCATTTTTAGTTATCAGCACAAATCTATCTAAAGCTGTTTTACAATGCCATGTATGAAAAAAATCCAATTATTTAATAAATTAACGGATGTAAATGCAAATAACTGTTTCCTATCTGAGTAACTGAATCACCTCTACAAAACCCACCAACGGATCACCATGAAGAAGAAAGCACCTGATGAACTTGAAGGTTCTTTGATGAAAAAAAGAATGAAATTGATTCAACTTGTTCTAACATAAAACTACTTAAAGATTAAAACCTTTGAGAATGATTAAAAAGACTATGTAACCGCTTTCTAAGAAAGAGTTGTTTTTTATTCATAAATTTCCAGTGTATATGAAAATAAAGTTACACAGTGAATAATAAAGGTTAAGGACATGAGCCTTTTCAACGACAACACGACAGCTAAGCAGATAAATGAATTTCTTTAGTCTTTCAAACTTTTATTTTTAATCTTTCAATACATCTACTTAAGTTTACTTCTCATTACATTCGAAAAGGCTTTTGTACCTTAAAGTCATTGTAGTTCTCTAAAGTCTCTTGGTGTGTTACCCTTACGCTCTGTAACCCATCAATAGTATACACCATTTGTACTATTGTATTTGATCCCATGGCGTATATTTCACAAAACCAACCAAAATGTATTCTGGATTTGTTACTGACTTTTCATATGTTCATGTCAATGAACATTTTCATGATACATCAAGTTACTGTTATTTGTTCCGAACCCCCGAAAATTGTTACCTTTTTGGTTAAATCTGTGCATTTAGACGGTATAAATGTCTTTCCTGGAAATTTGAAGAAAATTGGCATAACTTTCCTGTCTGGCTGTGTAGCCATAATTAATGCCTCTAGCAGTACGGGGCATTATTCATCAATTTCATTGTTCTTCGCATTATTTTTTAAAATAAAAAACTTATTAGTTTAAACAGGAGTAAGGTAAATCAACGCTGATCTTGCACGACGTCTTACCACAAAATCTGATTGCTTTTAGATGGTTGATTGCATTTTCCTGAAAATAAACGTTCACTTGGTTAATTTTGTTTTTAGAAGCTGGAAACCTAATTGCCTAAGCCCAAATATATTTTTCTTTACACGAAAAACTTTCACTTTAAAAGAGGAGTGAGTATCTCCTACCGACTGCTCACACCCGCCTTTATTTGTTATGGTCGGGAAATAACGAAAAAAAAATCCATGGATGACTCAGTCTGGAAATAATGGCCTATCAATCAGTATGAAAAAAGTCAGCCAGTATTGACTTAATGATAAATTGTACATGTATTTGCTAACAAGTCATTGGTTCGACCATAGAACTTTCGAAATGATGACTTTAAACGAGACTGCTGATAGTCTTGCTTCATCAAATTGTTTTTCAATAACTTACCTCGTTTTAGAAATTGTTCATACATAGAAATCACTTTTCATATCGAATGAACGGAGAGATAAAACGTCCGCAGGTAAAAAAGGTATATTGCAGCATAAGTAAGGAAAGCTGACTATTGAAAAGTTAAAGTCATCACGTCTATCATTAAGCTTTGTTGCTAGATAACCATTTACGTCTTTTTATAGATCCAAATATGAAACAGATGTGTCAGGCTCTGTGGTATCTTTTGTCTCAACCTCATCTGGATATATCGTGTCGACATGAGAATGGAAATAAATATTGCTAAATGACAATACGTCGTGGATACATCTAAATGTCGAGTTGAAGGCCACAGCAAGTGTTTTCCTCTTTTCACGTAAAAGATTATGAAAAATACTGCTTCACATGAAACAAAACTAGGTCTGCTTATAACGCTGCGCAATTGGTACCCATGAGAAATTCAGTAGATTTTTAGAAGACCTGGTCTCCAAAAATCACAAAGGTATTGTCAAACAGAAACTCGAGCATCTTCTTAATATAATCTTCAAAGTATTCCTGTGTACAATCAAAACGTTTTTTCGCAAAGTAATTTTGCAATTCATCAATGACAAGGTTAGTAAATTTACGAATTCCATTTTTATTGAAAAAGCAGCTGTCAATAATGTCATTAAGCCTGGAAAGTTTTATGATGTTGATTTTGGTAAAATTGTGTGATTTCAAATTTTCCAAAAGTTCCTTGGAATTTATTAATATCCTAATATCCAGATCTGATTAACGATTAACAGCACTTATTACTGAACGTATTGTTGAACAGTACTGTTGTAGTTTGTCCTTCACTACTGTTAATATCTTTGTGCGAAATGAAGAAAAAGTCATGATTTTTATTTCATCGACACATTAGAAGTTTGAGGATTTTCTCCTAATTAATACTAATTAAAAGGTCATAAACAAATGCATTTGAATCTTGAAACAGATTCCGAGAAAAATAGAGTAACAAACAAAAAATCTGCTTTGTTTCGTTTAGAATGATTTATACAAATTGCATAAGCCAAAGGATCTGAGTAATTTCCAGGAAAATATCGTTAGAAATAATCCTTTGATAACATCGTCAGGTTCTCCCATTTATCGTATTTAATTATGTAATACAGATAAGTGCTGTACACGATGCAGCATCCTAATATTTAACATTTACACTTGTTCTAACCCGGCCATTCAATCAGGAAAATGTAAGAAAACGTGGATATCTTGCGAGGTTATAAAATTTCCACATTGAATAAATAATATCAATTCAAGAACTTCCAAATCTCTGAAAAAAATCTTTTTTTAAAAAAAGTGATCACGTATTTTCACTGTGTTGAAACACTTCAGTTTGAAAGGCAGTTTGGAATGAGGAAATGAGATTGGTTTTCTATGGTTACAAAATCCTGAGAACTATTTCAAGATATTATTTTTCTATTTCCTTAATCGACCATTCAAATACAACAAAACTATAAATCAACATTTTAAGGTATCTCAGGGTATTTGATTACAGATAAGCTATTATCAAATAAAATCCGATACAATCTTCCAGAGACATGACTACCTTGGCGAGACAGAGAAAAGCAAAGATTCCGATGTTAAAGCCCTTTGCTTTCCGGTTAATCTGATCATAGAAAAACAAAGTACTTTAACGTAAAAAAATATATTTTAAATGCCACACAGTTTTCATTGATGGACTACGGGGAAATGTGACATAATTACTCGATGGGATGCGATAAAATGGTGCTCACGTCGGCTTTGAACGACGTTTTCAATAACACACTGGAAGATCTAAATGACACCACAATGGAAAGAGTTAACGATTCAAGTGATCCAGGAACTGTGTTTTATGTGTATTATTATGGCATGTTTTTAATTATTGCCTGTATAAATATTCCTGGAAATATCCTGGTAATTAGGACCGTATTAAAGACCCCCAATCTCCGCCAGCCGTGTAACTTTTACATTGTAAGTTTGGCGGTTACAGACTTAATCATTGGATTTGTATATCCTGTGTACAATATCTCTCATCTGGAACACGTGCCAGAAATTAGCCGTCCTTTAGGTAAGTGCCTTTTCCCTCATAATTTCGTTTAATTTTATGTAGCAAAAACTTAATATATACTAGCAATAATTTAGTCAATGTTATTGAGAAAATATGCTTTTAAAAGAATGGAAAAAAGTTACACTTCTATGAATGGAAAAAAAATGGTACAGCTAGGCTATTACATTTGTATTCAAAGCTTATATCTAAATTTGGAATATAGATATATAAGCAATTATCATAAAACATATATATTCAATTTGGCAATTTCTTTAAAAAGTACATACTCAAAATTTATTTTAAAAACTGAACAAAGAAGGCAAGTAGCCTAATAAAATGACTTTGGTCGGCATTATTGTTGCCGAAAAAGGCATATATTTCCTTTTTTAAAACAATTATTATTTTACTTCCTAGTATTGAACTTATGCAATATTTAAACCTTGGAGTAAAGTTAAATCAAATATTGAAAGTTGTCTTTTATTTTTTGAAAGAAGTAGCATTGGCAGATTTATTGCACGTGAAGTGAGAAATAAGGTTTATGCAAACAAACTCTTATTCTGCTATCCTATAAATTACCTCATATTAAATGTAATAAATCGTTATTGTGTGTATAGTTGAACCATATATGTGGGACCCCTTACATAATGAAAAACGATAACAGTCTTTATTCAAAGATGTTTAGATAAAATTGCATTATTTCAAATTCTTGTGCATGCATGTATAAAAATTAAAACAATGACATACAAATTGTTGAAAATTTCAATATCATAAATAATGCATAATCTAAATTCGATTATTACAAATTATTGCTGTAAAATAAGGATTGGACGAACATCGGCTACACGGAAACAAAGCTGGCTTCCTGAAGTTTTAGTAGATTCTGTTATCAACAATTCTGTCTAGATAGCATGTTTGGTGTGATGCATGTTTATTGCGTTGGAATGTTTTAAACTTCCCAATTTCTCCGGAAGTTAACTCAAGTTTATTTTTTCCTTAAAAATATTTTCAATTGTTTCTGTGTGTGTGGTTTTTTTTTATGAAAAGAAGCATACGTTAATTTCAAATCTCTAAATGCACTTGATTTCGGTAAATTCAATCAAATATTTTGTTAGACACAGGCAAATATTTGGGATAAAAGAAAAAAAGTGGCATTTCAAGATAAAAGAATAAAAAATCTCCGTCCTTTAAAGTACAAATAATTGTGTCATCTTTGCTTGCTTTGTAAATGACTGTTGTAATTAACTATTAATTGTCATAAAGAATGGAAGATAGTTATCTGCTTTGTAAATGGGACAAACGTTAGTATGTGTTTATTAAGTATGTATGAAAACTTTTGTAATTAACTATTTAATGTCACAAGGAATGAAGAATGGTTATTATATTGTTCTCCTTCGAGCGTTAGTAATAGCCATATTATTTACCCTTTCAATTAATTGACGGAGCAACCACAGTAACTCACATAAAATCGCAATTAGTGTAAAGTATACTGCATTTACCAACAAGGTCATTACGAAGACCACAGAGTTTGCGAAAAGCTGATTTCAAACGGGTATATTGTAATCCTTGTAATATTAACAAATTTGTCAGTAGCTTGTCTTAAACATTGTATTCAGAGCAGAATTCTGCATATTGAATAAGTTGGAGGATATAAATACGAGAAGCAATGATGCTAAAATATTGCAATTTGAATATAGGAAATGACTAGGGAAAAGCTAAAGCCATTCCGTTTGTCAGACGGTTCAGATTTACGTAAGTTGGCCATTTTCATCTGCAGATTGAAAAACATCCGAATATGAAACAGATGTGGCACACTCATTGGTGTCTCTGATATTTTATACTACATAAGATTTATCGATACGACTAATGAATGACAGGATTTATTGTAAATTGTGAAACGATCTAAATATCAAATTGAAATTATCCTCATGTTATGTAGAAGATTTGTGATAAATTCGACTCAAAGGAATATAAAAAAATAGGTTTGCTTTTATAGAGACACTGTTGACAACTATCGAAATTCCAACAAATCGTTTGAAGACCTAGTATCCGACAACTACATATTAAATACTGTAAATGAGAAACTCCATGTTTTAACATAATTGTATATATATTATTTTTACGATTTAACTGCAGGCTACTTTGTTTACCTTATTTATCAAGTTTTCTGGCTAATGGCTGTCGTAAACGATCTACAAGAAATACTTACTCCTGCATGACACCTAATCCTACATCTGGCACCTGATATTTCCAGGGGGCAAGTTCGCTCTGCTCTCAGTTCGTAATGTTTGATTAGGTTTTAGGTTCTGGGGCTTAATTTCTATGTAAAACTTGGCCGGCCCACAACCACAATGTATACCAGCGTATTCTTGTCTGGTTTAACAAATTACTTAATTTCTGTCAATACTTTCGAAAAGAATAAAGCCCGGTAGAACATTGATGACATTCCACTTTCCAAAATATTTTAATTCGTTAGAATCTATTTATTACTATGCTTTGAATCCAAATTATGTATAACAGTCCATTTTAATATAGCAATACATACCCGGTATATGGTTCTAAAAGATATATATCTAAAACCGATATAATCATAATTTAAAAAAAAATGTTTTATTATATCTATCTTCCAGTGAAACCAAATTCTGTGTATAATGTTGCAATACACATTGACATCAGTTTAAACAGTTAATGTAATGCATAGATGAAAATAGAAGTATAGATGAGATTCATTTTTTGCATGAATTATATTTTGGCATTAAATCGCCGTTGAAGTGAAAAATACATTTTCACACCACTGCATTTTTTACCTTTCAAATCAAACAAACTATCCTTTTGGGTTTGAGAGAATCTAGATTGATCTAACCAGACTAAAATAAAACCTTATAAAAAACCAATAGTTGTCTTTTTTTGCAAATGACATTTTAGGGTGAAATCGGACATTTTCAAAAACTTTTTATAAAAAGTGGAAATGTGCATTTATTTATAATGATTTTTTGTGAACCGAGTTTAATTTTGAAATTCACATTTTCTTTTGGTTTAAGAGGACGTGCTTTTCGTTTGGTTGAAAGCTCTCAAGCAGCTAATTTTAGATTTTAATTTTCTTTGAAGGGACAATTTGTAGAGTAGAGGATTATTCCGGAGATGTGTTTATTGCACAGATACACAAATATATTTTCATTAAATGTTATATGTACTTTGTAACAAAAGAATTTTTTCAAGTGCAGGCTTTGAAAACAAAGCTTCTAAAACTTTTTAAAGCGATAAAATACTTTATAGGTTAACCTGCTTGTTATGTACCTGACAAATTTTTGTAGTTCATTACTCTTTGATTGCCAATATTCCTTTCGATGTATCGATCGAGAAATTGAAATATACACTAAAATTTATTTTTCGAAAAGATTTTTATATTGTTGCTTGTAATTTAATTGTCACATTTCATTGATCGCTAAATATTTATATTTTTAAGTTATTACTTAATCAATTAAGGTAGGTAGATTGTAATGTTAATAATGGTATTACGAAGACATAGTATACAAATATCGACTTTTTGCGGCCCGTTGTCTGTTTTAAGTGATAGCTTTGCACTTAACTAGTAAGGCGGTTAAAACGTTAATATAATTTCAAAGACTCACCTAGAAGACGGACTAAATTGAGAGCAGTGCTGTGCCTCCCTAATGAACGATAAATTTGACAAATAGCACCATTACATAACATTTAGAAGTTAAGTGACTGGTACGCAACGGAAATTAAAATATACAGCCTTTGGAAAAGAGAAGATATCTAAAGCAAAAGAATTAATGCTTATCACCTGCAATTTCCGCAATGCATATCCGTAAGACGAAAAAACATCCATATTTCTTTTTCTGTAAAAGAATGTATTTTCCGGTTTATCATAGTTGCCCTTTAAATTCTATTAATGATGAATTCAGCAAAATGTTCAAGTATATTTATTGAACAAATTAATGACATTAGCATAACAAGTGTGGACATATTATCAAAAATTCTGCTATTAATAATATTAAAAATATATAATGAACAGGGCCTTTAATCTCGCCTCTTCAGGGGTTTTCCATCCTTGAAAACCACATCAATCGTACAGATATTAACATGGATATTGTTTGCAATGGCATTTAGATCGCACTATTCATTTGTTTTTATTGTTATTATGCAATTGCTAGAAAAATAAATGCATGGTAATATCAAAGATACCAGGTTAAGTTTGTTGGGTGATACGAATGAAGTACAAAAAAAAAACTAGAACAATGTGCCAGAATGTTCAAGAATTTCAAACAAAGGTACTCAAATAATCCATTCTTCTAACACGGACGCGAAACAAACATTAATTTTAGTCGCTAATTCTACTTTGAAACAATTAACACCATACAATGTATAAAAACATTTAAATTTTTTTCTCAAAATAATGATTGACAATCAACTATAAAGAAGTAACATCCTATCTTTTCTTCGAATTTACTGCTTTCCCAAAAGACTTGTACACTGTATTCAAGTCAATTGTAAATGATCCTGTTGTGTGCTGGTAAAAGTTCACATAATAATAATAATATACTGTAGGCGACAATATCTAATTAAGACAATTATTAACGAAGTATTCCTTTTATAGGTCAGTGGAACGTTTGTCGCTTCTTGGTGACTGAAGTGCTTGCCCTTGAGATTTGCTCATCATATCATTTAGTCGCCATAACAGTCACTCGTTACATCGCCATTGTGTATCCATTACGTTATCATCTTTACGTCACGACGAAGTCCACACGATTCGTTATTGCTACTATTTGGGTGCTGTCACAGGGTGTATGCATTGTGATGTATACTATCTACAATCCAGGTAGGTTAAGTTTACCACAAAGTATCATTGTCATGCAAGAAGTTATGTCAAAGATTAAAACATGTTTCAAAAACATACTTCAGCTAAACTGAGAATATGTCAATTTTCCTTGTAAATAATAACATTCTGTTCATAAATCAATTTAGTAATAAAATGAAAGATATGAAGATAATGAACAATATTCAAGATCAATATCCATTAAAACAATACAAATAAAGCGAGGCGAATACGGACCTCCAAATCATTAGATATGTGATCAGGTGCCGTAAGTTAGCATCCCCAGCCGACCGGTAATATCCACCATGTGTCCTTTGTAACGATCGATCGGGAAAAACTAAAAAAACATAAAGAATTCAATGTGTAAATAGTGTAAATAGAAACACTTAATATAAAAGAAAACATCCGTCAGCATTTGACTCAATAATAGGTTCTATCCGCTGACAAGGTATTGTACCGACTAAAGAACTTGCAAAATGATGAATTCAAACAAAACTGTTGATATCCTAGTTTCATCAACTTGTTCGTCCTAAGCTTGCCTCTTTTTAGACATTGTTCATACGTAGATCATGCTCTTTGTATCAAATTAACCGAGAGACATAAGCCCCATATGCAGGTGATATGGGTTTATTAGTACAATATATTAAGTAAAGGAAGTTGACAATTAAAAAAAACTTAAAGTCATCACGTTTATCATAAGTCTTTGTTGTTAGGTTACCTTTAACGTCTTTTTCTAGTAAAACATCACAAAATGAAACAAATTAATGTGTCAAACTCTGTGGTATCTTTTATTTCAAACTCACTAAGATATTAGAATTAGATTCTGTATTTTTAGTCATACAATATTTGTTTTTCTTGACCAGAGGAATACATAAACAAGCCTGGACGTGTGTGTCGATATGAGCTGATCTTCTCCATTGCACACGTTTGTGTTCTTTTCATCATACAGTTATTTCTACCACTGCTAATTATGCTAGGATTGTACGTACGGATCGCTAAAATAGCCAGGACACAGGTAAGACAAAAACTCTTATAAGATTTTTATATTTATTCAATTAAAATCAAAAAATCATTTACATGTCAACCATGATCTACCAAAACGAATGATGTGCATATAAATAAACTACATATAGGTTTATATCTCTTGTACAAAAGATATTTTGTTTGCTATCAATTGTAAAACTTAAGTTTATAGATTCTATATTATTTTAATTTTCATTTCTTTAAGGCAAAAGTTATAGCCCTTCAGGAGCGAGTATCTTGGAACAACAGTCCAAAATCCAGCAGCAATGTTATACGTCATGAACTGAAATCAACATTCATGGTCTCTATTTTACTGGGCTGTTTCACAATTGGTTGGATGCCAATGATGATTTATTTCTTCTACGAAATAACATGTGTAGGGGATTGCAATGTTACCCCTTTCATAAGGTGAAGTTAGTAAATCAAACAACTTTAGTTTATATGAAATGCTATAAAAAGAACAAACACCGTTTTCTATTTTTGTTGATGGACAATTTTTGAAATGTATGGTGCATCAGCAAGATGATATAATGGCAGAAAATAAAGCAAGAAATAATAATTTCTAACCACCTCAATACCGAAAGTTTTAAACTGTCCTGCAGTGTAAATTAATGCATTTAATATATTTGGTATTACAATACATTTTTACGCTTCCTTTGTATATTGTAGAGCCAGCTGTCGAATCTTATTGTTTATGAACTCAGCAGTAAATGTGTTTATTTACGCTGGTCGTCTAGCGGCATTCAGGAAAAGCATCAGGAACGATTTCACAAAACTGTACACTGTCATTTGTTCTTGTGCTATAGAAAGATTTGGAATGAAACATTCCAGTAGTGTTTCTTCAAACAGGTCCATAGCGACACATACCGATATAAGTCAGATACCGAGTAACTTGGATTACAGTATCAATTTATAGCGTGTGTTAAGCATTTGTACATATAAGGAAGTATCGGTAGGCATTGCCAAAAGAATGGACATATATATACAGAAGACATGCAAGTGAATTTTGAAAAAGAATCACGGAAGGTTTAAACTCATTTCTTTGTACCTTTTTTGTCACAATTTATTTATCTAAAAACTTGAACAAAGCAAAAATTTGCATATTATTTTGATAATTAATTTAAATTAAATATTTGTGGTTGATTTATTGAACGAGAATTTGGTGTTGTATTCAAAACCAATTCTGAAGTTCTATCATACTGAATGAATAAAATCAGTGTGCCGCTTGAAAAATACACAAAGAAAGATAACTTTTTTCAGAGCACTGAAATGGGATCTATGTCCGAAAAGTGAAATGTTTGAAACTGATATTCTCTTAATTATCACATTATTGTAAATACATGTAGGGTGAATTCACCATGCATCGGATACCCTTGTACTTCAACAAGTTCTAGCGATATCGCTACCGACGTAAAATTATCAAAATGGACCTTAATATTTAGTATGTGATTAAAATATAAATTTGGGACAAAATTATATGCTTTTTATTGGGAAAATATCCTCAAAAATCGAGTTTTTAAAAATAACCCAGAATTCACCATGGATCGGATATTATTAACCATGCATCGGACAGACGGTATTTGGACCGTAAAAATACCATACCTTTATCACAATGCTTTAAAGTCCTTGATATGGATATATTTTTATCTTTTTTCTAAGAAATTACCCTCAACTTAAATTTAATTGACGATATTGTTGCATAAATGTAGAAAGATTCAAGATACCTCACTCTGCCTTAGAAATGCTTTAAAATGCTTGTAATGCGGTAATTCGCGCCTTTTTCTCATGGTTTATCCTACTCTAGTTTGTAGAAATAAATTAAGTCAAATTCTAGACCTCATTTATCGATATCTTGTATTTTGACTGAAAATATAGAATTTTCATTTTCTATTTCCACAAAAAACAGCTGTCAGTTGGGTTCTGTATGAAAATGATAGTGCTTATCTAATGCATTTAATATATTTGATATTTAATTTGTTCCGATGTCGGAGATATGAACATACTAGTAAAAACCAGCTCTAAAAAGAATTATATGAACATTGACGTGAATTTTTTTTAAAATTTATGTAAAATTGCCAATCTTTGACAAGATTCACCGAAGTCTGACTCGTTCCGTTGAAGTCGAATTCAAAGAACGATAACTCTAAAAATTGGAAAAGCATAAATTTTCTGGTTATTCCCTTTTGATGATGTAAAATATGACGTAACTTCAAGGCCATTCTCGGGGTATTTTTACCACAACATGACAATAACAATCATTATCACTACAAAATTTAAATCTTCATCTTTAAGACAGAAACAAATAAATACACAGAACTCTTAAGTTGAAAGAGAGTTTATTGCCTAAAGTTGTCCGAAGCAAGGTACGAGGGTTGTTCGAAAATTATTGAGACATTGTGTATATTTTGCTTTCTAATGAACGTCTTTCGGTGAAATTTTGCATATACGTTTGACATACATTTAGAATAAATAAAAGCAAAAAATATTTTACAAATATTAAATGAGTCATAAATTTATTTATTTAAAAATATTGAAAATATGTAACAAATTCTAACTCTTATTTGGATAATTAATTTAAGGGCGAAACTAATTCAGTGTATGTGTATAATTTTTCAGCTTTATTTCAAATTCATGTTGTGCAACTTTGTTAGAATTTTGATCACAAATACGGAGATAATTAAAAAATTAAGCGCGGTAGAGAAATCTGCAAAGAACGAAAAAATGGATTTTGACGTCAAGGGCGGAGCAGCCAGCTTACCGAAAATATTGTGTATCGCAATGTAGAACTCTTTTCCAGACAGGACGACCTGCTAAAACAGTAACATCGAGAAAAAATAATGTGTTGGATTTTTTTCATTGATATACATTTTTTTCACAATTAATTCAATCAGAGTGAAATCAAAAGCATCGGACAACCATCAGTCATTATATACGATATTAATTATATCGTTGACCAGCGTTGCATAAATCGGCACTGCATGATTCTAAGTCATCCTTTCTCATAAATGAAAATTTTACACTGGGGTAGCAAAGCCATACATTTTTAAAGAATAGTTTAATAAAAGAGACTGATTTTGCAATGTTATATGAAATAACAAAGAAGGAAAAGTATTGAAAGACTTCCCGATCGTTTTACATGCGAAAAATCCTCTCCGGCTGACGTGACGTTAAATGTCGTGGCGATGCTGCTCCGGGTCGATAGACATATGCATGTTTATCATTTCATCGAAACTTTTCTTATTAACATAGGAATTAGAAATTTTGCATAATTGTTTAATTTGTTCTTTATAAAATGTTGATGAATTTTCATGAAATTATCTCCGTACTTTATGGAGTAAATGTAATTGTCTCAATAATTTCCGAACAGCCCTCGTATGTGTCCGATGCATGGTGAACTCACCTTATAAGGAAATATATCTTTATTTGGTAAAGTTTATCTACAGCACGCGCAAGAATAGTCTGTTCTAATGTAAAAGTCTAGGGAACTAGAGATTTATAAGGATCTCTCTCTCTCCCTCTCTCTCTCTCTCTCTCTCACTTACAAAAATTTTATTTAAATTGATTGGAAATGATATAGTACTTAAGGGGGCGACTGTAATTTCCATTGCGCAATATTTCGCGCATCATACTAAAATGAAGCGTACTTACTGTTTTAATGCAACTTTTTTCACTTAATTATTAAAATTAAACAAAATTAAGAAATTATAGGTGTAAAAATGTAATTACAATTCGATATAACTGATTTTTAAAACCGATTTTGCAATTGATAGGTAGGTTGACGTCGCTTCAGTGTGTTTTTGACGTTATGATAATCTGAAGTTCTTAAAGAAAGGGGTAATAAAAATATTATTTAAGAAAAAGTAAAAAAAACATGCGCAATTTGAAGAACCCCCCCCCCCCCCCCCCTTTTGATATTTCCCAATTGCTACATCAGACTTCGAAGGAGATTATAATTAGTGTCCCCTAAAGGACAGATAATTGGAAGCATGCATTGGTAAACATTATAATGCATGTTTCTCCATGGAAGATTTGAGAGCATATAATTTTAATCTAATTGTCCGTCTGTCTATGTATATTTGTCTATTAATCTGTTTGTCTGCTTGTTTACAGAAACTTTAACCTTGCTCGTAACTTTTGAATGGTTGGAATATGTGACATATACTTAAGTCCTTTACGTATATGTCACATGTGCAAGTTTGCATTCTTTTATTTTAGTTTTATAATCATAAAGATCTTTGGATTTTTTCACGAAAGGAAGTAATAAGTTAATTATGAAATGTTTTGCGGGTTTATCATATTTTACATCACAAAATCTACATAGGAAGAAATTACGAGGGTCATTCAAAAAGTTTGTAGACTGTTGTCGTAACTTTTTTGTTTACCGTCATATTATATCCAAATTTAGTACACGTATTTTAACAACAAATTCGAATAATTTGAATTAAAAAATTCGAATATATTTTCATATTTATACAAATTATCGAGAATTTAGAACAGCAAAAATGGGGTCACAGAGCAACGTCATAATTGAGTAATTTACTAATTTTCACTTTATAGTATCTATAGCCAGAAATCGAATAAATGGGACTGAAACAAAATAAAATTTACATGTTAAAATTCAGTCTTGCTGTATTACTTAAGATGCTATCAGATATTGTAATATAATGCTCCGTTTAAAAGATATCAGCTTCTAATTATAAATGGACTCGTTTTAAAAAGGCAAAAAACCACGACGTTGGAGGACGTCACGGAGCAGCGAGTAGCAATAAAATTTTGCTTTGCATTCAGGAAACTTCTTTAATAAAATTTTTAAAAATCTCTATAAACCAGGAAATGTATGAAAAAAAACATGAATTTGTATAAAATGGAAAATACAATTTTGGAGTGGTGGTCAGTTTAATCAGACGAAGGATGGTCTGCAGAGAAACAGGTTATAGTAAAAAATCTTGTCAAAAGAATTAGGAACGTCATTAAACGTGACGTGCGCTTCACTCTTGCAGACAAGATTGAAAACAATAACAATCTAGATCAAACTATTTGCACAATTGTTAGCATCTAGGTATCAAGTGTTATGGATACGTTTTTATGAATGGAAAGATGCTACAAAGTGTGCATGAAATTAAAAAGCAAACCGAATTTTGAGAAACTTTCTCGACGTTGCTTTTGACGTTACAATGTTGGTTAACCGTGCTCCGTGGTAAGAAAACATGTTGTGTTAAAAATTGGCTCACAAAAAATCAATTTAATCTAATTGAATGAAACTCCACACTTCGACAAAATAAATGTTTTTATTTACGAAAATGTGTTGATCTATAATCTTGTAATAATAATATGACGATGAGGAACATCGTCTACGTACTTTTTGAATGACCCTCGTACATGTAGGCTACCAAAATGATTTATCGCTGAAGTGTGTTTATGATCAATCAATTAAATAGTTAGTTATTATATTTTTTCATAAAGCATCTGAAATAGAGCTTAATCAGCAATGAAAATATCAATATAATTATGCGTAACTGGGACATTAAAAAATCTTACCAACATCTGCCGCAGTTAATGATACGTATTTTATTCAAACACTTACTATTTAATCTGTGATGGAAGATATCCTTGGTTCTCCTGGTCCCGGAACAGCCTTTTATGTATATTATTTTGGGATGTTTTCTATTATTGCTTGTATAAATATACCAGGAAACATACTGATCATTATAGCCGTTTTTAAAACCCCGAATCTACAGAAGCCATGTAATTTCTGTATTGCGAGTTTGGCGGTCACAGACTTATTGATTGGATTAGTGTATCCTGTGTACAATATCTCGCACCTGCAACACGTGCCAGAAATCAGCCGTCCATTAGGTAAGTAAACTGATATTCATGCCCTTTTCTTAAAAGTCAGAATAAATTTTAAATTCAGGTGTCCTTATTTTAATACAAATAAGACACCATCTGGCCTCTTAATTTCCCAAACAGATAAAAACGGCATTAATGCCAGAAAAAAATCACTTTGACTTGATGATACCTGTATATATGACTACTATTTAATAACTTAATTATTTCCTTAAAACCTTTTTTCGTTTACTTCTATAAAAAGAACGCAAGGAGAAAAAATGAAACATTAACGTTACAGCACTGGTCAGAGCGTATGCTCTAGAGTAAGTAGTTGGTCCCACAGGACGGGTTTCGAATTGTCCTACAGCACCACGTAAAACAAGGTCAGGTGTCGCAGAAGTTGCTACATGTACCACGAAACCCGGTCCTTCACTTCTCAAAGGTCTAAATTCTCAGCCCTCAACCAGCAAGTGGTCATTTTAATATGAATGAAAAATTCAGCAAACAAACGAAAAATATGCAAGTAGGTTTCTTTTCTATTGGATATAATTCAGTTTTTTTTTATATAAAACAAATAAAGTAATACTTAATTTTAGATAGGAATTTAAATTTTTCAAATACTTATGTCTACTGTATAGACATACCCACTTTGCTGAAAGAATGCAATGTATGTATCTTATAATAATAAGAGAATATAGTTGTTTTGTTTTTTTAATAAAAAAAGAAGTTTTAGCAAATACTCTGTCAATTATTAAGAAAATGGATGTCAACATGACTCATTAAAAGAAATTAACAGACATGATCACAGCTGTCGCTGTGTTGCCAGTAATTAAAAGTGGAAGTATGTCGATGTATCAATGATAACATTTTTTATCTATCAAATGTTTACTCTATGATACAAGATCTAATGCGCTGTTTTCAAATAAAGCAGAATGACAGAAGAATAGTTTTTTTTTTATTTAAATGCATTTGCCTCTTATTTGTTATTGTTTTGAAATATACAACTGCGTATTTCTGAATTTCAGAGGAATTATAGATTTATACTTCAATGGATAACCTGAATAATATTTAATCAGTTTACATGTAGAAGGAAAAGTTTAGAGGATCTTGACATAAGGTTAAAAATTTAGTCCAAACTTTCGTATTGAAGTACATGTATATGGAAAGCGAAACAAAATCTCGTATCTAAGCACCAAACAACACTTACGATTTCTTGATATTTTAGGGATTTATGTTTATATCATTTCAAATCAGAATCAGACGAAAACTATTTATCAATCCATTTTGTTTAAAATCTTTAACATAAAAAACTATTCTCTGTAGCCCTTAATTCAAGATTTTTAAAAATTGCCGATGGTTATTCAATCAATAAAATACAATTTCCTACGAGGATCGATTTATTTCCCTTAGGAATAGACATAAAAGTAAACAATGAGTGTGTAATCTACATGTATTTCATATTTTGATATTTAACTAAATAAAACCATAAAAGGCGAAGTAACAAACAAACATCTGTGATAACGTGAATCACCAACTTAGGTTTCCTAGTTTATGTCTCCATGTTATGTTGTAGAAGTTGTACGTAGGAATAAATTCTAAAAGGAGACAGCTATTGACATTTTCCTTAAGTCTCATTTTGCAATTTCATAGATGATATTATGAATTAAATTATTTGCTAGCGAATACAGTTAAGTCAAATGCTGTCAGACCGTTATTACCATACCAAATTGTGTTGAGTATAAAAGGAGCTGAAGGCAAATGTCTGACAACAATGAGGTTGATGTTATGAGTACATATCTCAATAAAGTTTTACCAGCATTGGACATATTCTCCAATCTAAGTGGTCTTTAGGATGAAAGAATTTCAATTCAAAATCGGTATCGTTGCAGTTTGTTAAGACAATACGTATTTGTATAACTACTTCTAATATGTAATATACCTCGTAAATATTCAAGAGATTTAAGCATTCTGATATATTAATAGGAATATTTTTCCAGGCCAGTGGAATGTATGTCGGTTTTTGTTGTGTGAGGTCATTGCATTGGACATCTGCTCATCCTATCATTTAGTAGCCATCACCATCAATCGATACATCGCCATTGTGAACCCATTACGTTATCACGTCTACGTCACGACAAGGTCAACTAAATACGTCATAGTATTTATCTGGGTCATATCGCAAGGTGTTTGTGTAATAATGTTTACACTCTATAATCCAGGTCAGTACTTAATCTAAATTTAAACCAATTAATGCAATTATCATAAAATTTTCAGCAAAAAAAATTGAATGGCATCTTCGTTTTTACTAATATTTTGTCTAAAGATTATGAAAAGTCAAATACAATCATATTGCATATGTAGATATTCGTTATGAAATTAATTTTAATTTCGCAGAGGAATACATCCTGAGACAAGAACCCTCATGTCGGTTCGAGCTCATTTTTTCTCTGGCTCACATGTGTGTCTACTTCATTTTTCAACTGATTCTGCCATTAATATTAATGATTCCCATGTACGCCAGGATCGCTAATATTGCCAGAACACAGGTTTGTTGAAGTCTTACATGCATTTTATTTATAACAATTATGATATACATCTTTATGATGGCCAATGTCCATAACGAATTAAGGGCTAATGCTTATAGCCTGGATGTTGCCCATAACGTTTTGTTTTGTTACGAAATGTTTTTTATTGTCATTAATACTTTTTTCAAAGGTTATTGAATTGAAAATTTGTACTATTATATCAAGACATTTGTATATAATTTATAAAGAATTATAATTTTTTAGATTATACTTTTTTCCCATTATCTTTGTTGGACATAAAATATTGGACGTAAAATATGCAACACAAAATTTTTGATTCATGTGGAAAAATAGTGTGCAATTTATTCATAAGATTGCTACCACGTGATTTATTTCTCATTAATATTCATAAGATATTGTATAAACTTGAAATATTCTATTTCTACATACCTCGTATGTTAAAACCTGCAAGCCTGTATTGTTTTGTATTTTGTTCAAGCCTCCGTCACAGTTACATAGCTAGAATTTTCTGTGTTTAACAATTGACGACTCAGAATATCGTTTTTCCTACATAATTTAGGCCACCATAATGTAAGAAATTGCCGTTTTCAAATTAAAAAGGCGGTCGTAACTCCTCATGGAACGGTAAATCATGAGTATTTTATAAAAATAGACTTTCTTCTGTACCTTTAAATCGGCGGAAGAACTCTGTCAACTTGCAATAAACACTTAAATTTCAACATCTAAAATGATAAAAACACCAATTCTTAGGGCTGGGACGATACAACTTTTTCTATTTCGATACGTATCACGGTATTTGAGCCACGATACGATATGTATCACGATATGTTGAATTGCTTATAAAATCTTTTTTTGCATTGAAATAAACAAATTATTTCTTTGCAAATGAGAATAATTTATTCAAAATAAATGTTTGTATGTTGTAAAACAAAAATATCTTACTCAAATGGTGTTAATTTTGATTTATTTCATATCTATATATATATTTAACTTATTTATTTAATATATTAAACCCCAAATGTTAAGTAAACAGAGAAAAACAGAAGTCAGATTTTTTGGGCAATATTTCGATATTTTTTCAAATGTATCGATATGTGTATCGTCCTCACATATATCACGATATATCGATATCTCGATATATCGTCCCAGCCCTACCAATTCTGTAATCCTTCCTTCATTAAAGCAATGCTATCTCGCTTCGAATTTTCAAATCAAAAAGGCGGTCGCAACTTTCACTTTGGTATTTACAATTTTGTCATTTCTGGTAGAAAATAAAAGGAAAAATCAAACCATCGGCGGAAGAACTTTATCCGAAATAGGTAGGACATAAAGAATTGCGATTTTTTGTATTTTCTCTATATAAACCTTTATGGAATCGGCAGCTATTATAGTTCCAAAATGGCTGATATGCAAATGAGCAAAATGAACACTATTTCTCCATATGTACTACTATATGTGGTAGCTAGGACTGAATATTTTTTTTTTTCAAATGTTCTAATAATAATCAATTTCTTTTAGGCAAAGGCTATAGCAATTCTAAAACGGCTTCCATGGCATAAAGATAGGGCATGTTGTTGCCACATCAATTATCACGAATTAAAGTCAACATTTTTGGTCTCCATTCTATTAGTGTCCTACACAGTTGCCTGGGTGCCTTTTATGACATACTCCTTTTACCGAATACAGTGTGTTAAGGATTGCTACTTCAGTCCTTTCATACGGTACTACATATACTACTACTATTACTCCTACCCCTCCTCCACTCACTACTACAACTACTAAAGCACGTGCCTCTGATGATATTTTCAAAAATAAAGAAATTAATTTAAAAAATAAATAAAATGAAAACGATTTTAATATGTGATTTTTTTCTATTGCAGAGCAAGCTGCCGAATATTGTTGTATCTCAACTCAGCTATAAATATATTTATTTATGCACTCCGTTTAAAGGAATTCCGGAAAAGCATCAAACATAAGTTGACACATTTTTTCAGAATGATTTTGTGTCGAGAAAAAAATGGGAGGGCTCATTAAATACTCGCCACTCGACTACTTCGTAAAACATGTGAGCAAGTTTGTTTACAATGACCTACGAGAAAAAAATTGTGAAAAAAGAGAGAACCTATCTACTGTAGGGTGACAATGTAAACAGCGAATGAACATGTAGGCGTATAATGTCTTCAGCGAAAACATCAACATGTATTCTTTTAAGTCAATGACAAAATGTGTCGATGGACAACGAGGTATTCAGTGAGGATAGATCATATCGCCAACAACGATGTGCACAAAATGTTGATAATTACTCTAATAGACAAAGCTAAATATATTTTGACTGTGAATGGAAATGAAAGTGTAAATATGAAAATGCATCTTTTCAGGTTTTCTAATGCCCCTTCAATATAAAATAAAAAAAAACTTCATGACATGTTATGAAGTATTTATAGCATGGGTTGGATTTGTAAGTCTTTGATTTAGAGTTTGAAATACATTGCAGTAAGTATGGAATTGTCACTGAATCTTTTTTTTGTTTTGATTTTGTAAGAATCTTCATTTAATGTTTGAATTTTATATGGTATTTTTTGGTAGTATGATTAGGGAGTTCAAAACTTGTTATATTTTTTTGCTAATTTAAAAGTCAGTCAGAATACACTGTAAGTTATGTATTTTCTCCTGCAGCAATAGTTTAATTTACGGTTTGAATGACAATGAACACATTATATTTCTAATGAAGTAATTTCTGCTTTTAAGTCCGATTATACTTCTAATTATTTGTGATTTTCATTACCTTTTCAAATTGAGAAAAATGTCTGTTCCAATGCTGAAAATCCCAAAGATTTTTCCCATCATTCTTGCTTATTTATATAGAGGAAAATAAAACAAACATGATTTTACACACGTTTATTTTGATATTGGCGTTTGTTGGTCGTGGCATATTTAAAAGCAGCAGGGGGTCGCCAAGGGTAAAAGGGCGACCCCAAATTACAACAAGCAGCAGCAGCAAGCAACATGAAAGCATAATATCACATGTACATATAAAAAGCATAATAATGGCCGTTCCGGGTATACCGCGAACGGTAATAAACCTTACAATTAAATTTTATGTACATGTATTTTAAATAAACTTTACAAGTTTATATGTATGTTGTAGTTATCGTTTCGGGTTATCAAACCGCGAACGTTACAAAAGATATTTTAGCAAGCAAAGCACTGTGCATGAAATTTGTTGAAAGCAGTACACATCTTGCACAGCAACTGAGTTTGTTTCAAGTAAGCACAGCAGACCAATTCATGAATTTGTTGAAAGCAACACACATTTTCACAGTAAATGAGTTTGTTTTAAGCAGCAGCAGCACAATGAATTATAGCATCAGTTGAATCAGAATGGCTCGGCGTAAACTGAATCTTGGGACGTCAAGGGGAAAAACCAATCGTAATTCTATGGAATGTCATCAAGGACTCTTCAAGGAGGCTAAACACGCAATCGAAATTACAGCATACAAGGTCAGGCTCATGGAATGCCACGACGAAATTCTTCCAAGTGAAGTCAATACTCAAGTTAAACCTGAAATGATAGAGAAAACCCCAACAGCAGACAAAAACTTTTTAAAATTGTTTAGTGTTAAAATGCAGATTCTTCCATTACTCTTCAATATGTGGCGGGATGGGATGGGATTTAAGAAACAATCGTGATTGAAAGCATATTTTTTAAAAGTTCTGTCTGCTACAAAATTCGTGTACCTTTCGTTTTCGGATCAATGCAAAGAGGGAGAATTTGAGATATCCCGATTCCGATCTAATTTATATTCGAGCTAACCCAACTCAAATAGCAGCAACAAAGTTTTCCTCATAAAATAAGTGCATCTATTCTTTAAATTAATAGATGCTATTATAAAAGATATCATTTGCAGAAACATCACCAGATACTGAGCTAACTGTACCCAGCGTGTCAAGGCTCCATTTTGATCAATCTGACTGAGAATCTGTCACACGACAAAGATCTTGCAACAAAAATCCACACTGCAATATTACAATAAACATCAGGAGTTTGTATAACACTCTGTATTGAGGAGAGATGGTATCCGATACGTCAATTTCGAATCAAGAAAAAAGTTTTGAAGGTTAGAAAGAATCTGTTTAACCATTCATTTTCCTTTTCAACGACTTGTACATATTCTTCAATGTGATTATACAAAAATAAATAAAAAAGGGAAAGAAAGAGGTACATGTATTAATTAAATAAATGTGAATAATCTTGATTCTTTTTGAAGTTAACAACTGCTTTATTTTGTACTTTTATATTTTCACACTTCACATGTTTTAAAAATAACTTCGCATGTTTTAAAAATAATCTGCATAATGCTTCCTTGTTAATTTTTATATAATAATGAAAACAATCGACATTAATTTTGAGTTTTAGCAATTGGAGTTTTTTACAACTAAAAAATTAAAAATAGCGACGAGTAGATGGATCAGGAAGTAACTACATCAAAATGTTGCCTTCTACTGCCGCAAACCAAAATGTCTCCCAGAACACCACATCTTATTTGAAAGACACGGATCTAGGAGAACCACACACATCTGAAGATCATGGGATATCCTTTTACGTTTATTATTACGGGATGTTTTGTATAATAACGTGTATTAACATACCCGGGAATACCATGGTTATCAGAGCTGTGATAAAGAATCCCCACCTCCACAAGCCATGTAATATTTACATTGTGAGCTTGGCTGTTACAGATTTACTTATTGGAGTCATTTATCCTTTGTACAATGTTGCTCATCTAGAACACGTACCGGAAGTTAGTCGTGCTTTAGGTAATTACATTAATTTTACATTATTTTTTTCTGTTTAAGAAACAAGGTGTTGATATGCACTTTTGTCTGTCTGTCTGTTGTACAAGTTTTTTCCCCTTTCTACATTAATTTGGAATAGAAATATGTTAAACCAATATAGAAAACTAAATTAAAACCAATTCTTATAAATTTTGATGGAATAGGATAGTAGATTTTCTTTTTTAGTATCACATGACCACACCAACTTAAATTAGAACTGCATGATTTCCGTAGCATAACTCTAAATTTAAACAAACAATTCGTCATATGATATCAACTGATTCCTACTTCAAAGGATTCTGATGATGATATAATTTGTGTAGTGAAACATGAAGAAAAATCAAAGACACACAAAATCCAATGCTTTAACCACATGAAATTTCAATTAATTACAATATTTTCATTTAATCATATTGTTAATTCAAAGAATTGGGTTAACAATGGAAATACAGAATATAATACAAAACATGAAAAGATTTGCTAATTAAGATTGTCACTATTTTCTCCGCATAAATATGCTTAAAATTAAGCAAAAGATTAAAGCATTTTTTCCAAAGCTAACAAGCAAACAAATACTGTATGGTTGTATCATTAAGGTTACCGTCCTTTTTGAAATGATTTTTGTTAAAAAAGTGCTAGAATTATTCATAAATATAGACAATGTCAAATATTAGTGGATTAAATGTACTATGATTAATAAATTTATAAAAATAAAGGCATTAAATAAAGCGCAGAAAACAAAAGAAAAGGGTTTGAAAAAGATTTGAAGCAAATCTACATTTTCTAGGTCAGTGGAGTGTTTGTCGTTTCTTGGTGTCTGAGGTGCTTGCCTTGGGTATTATCTGTTCTTATCACTTGGTAGCCATCACGGTTACCCGGTATGTCGCCATTTTGTACCCGTTACGGTATCACCTCTACGTCACAACCAAATCCACAAAGTACACCATTTTTAGTATTTGGGTCCTATCCCATTGTACGTGCATTTTGATGTATACTCTTTACAACCCAGGTAAGTATCATACATGCATTGTAGCAACCTCTCATGATAAAACGCCGCTTAATGATACAAGTAGAATTAAGCGTTGCAATTGCAACGCTTAATGCCATAAATTATTGCATTAATAGCTGACATCATCAACCGCTAATGCTAAATCGGCGCTTAATGACAGAATTATATCATTAAGCGTCACAAATGCAGTGCAACACCGACACTTAATGAAACAAGCAAATATCGACATATTCGACGCTTAATGATACACACTGGTGTATCATTAAGCGTTGCAGTTGCAACCCTTAATGATATAAAATTTAGAAATCGCTTGTTACATCTAAGAGAAACAAACATCCACCTTTCCTGAACAATGAGATATCACTTGTCAAAATATATATATATACCCTTGTGCTAAATAAATGGTAATTATTGAAGCTTTACTGTGTTTTTTTTTCTAGTCAAGGGAACGTCGTTAAGCCCCGGATATTTAAGAGACGGATAGTCAGAAGAAAGAGATAGAAACAAAGGGATAAATAAAATGATATTCAAATCCTTTTAAAAGAACCATATTTTTACTGAAAATACAGAAGCAAACAAGCAATTAAATTCCTTTTAATTTGATACAACGATTTTAATTCTCAACCTAAAATATATAGAATATATTTAAATTTTCCAATTTTTTTTTTCAAATTTTTCAAAATGCTACTCCCCCTGCAGTTTTGGTCTGATTTCAATATAACTTGGCACACAAATAGACTAAACTAAGATACTTAATTTCTGCATCGGTTTTTGATTTCTGCCTTAGTTACTAAAGATAGAAATAATATAATAAAATGCTACTTATCCAACATATTTTGTCTGATTTCAAAATAACTTAGCTCACATGTAGACTACACTTAAAGATATCGGTTTTTGAATTTGATCAACAGTGTTGCCGTGGTTACTAAATTAGAAATTTCTGTGAAATTCATTCAAAATGCTACTCCTCCTACAGTTTTAGTCAGATTGTAATATAATTTGGCATGCAAGTAGACTATACTGGCATACACTATTATCAGTTTCGTGGTTTTGAGTTTGTTGATTGATGTTGCCATGGTAACTAAAATTGAAAATTCTGTAAAATTTTATTGAAAGCTATCACTACAGTTGTAGTTTTATTGCAATCTTGCCACAAAAATAGACTTAATTAAGGACCGTCATTCTATTTATTGCTTTTATAAAGTTTTAAGCCCAAATTGCTACTTTTTTCTTCCTTTATTATAAGTAAGTACCAACGAGTAGAGCTACAGTCTCGACAGAGATATATTTTTTTTCTTTCGATATATAAGACTAAGTTTACATCTGACAAATATTAAAATGAAATGGATTTAAATGAATAGTTCTTTTTTCGGTACAAGAGAGACCCTCTCTATTAATGCATGTACTAGTATTTATTTCTTGTACATTATTCTTTTAAAAAAATGGTCCTGTTCCTAAAAAAAATGTTGGAACCTTTTTCTTAATCTTAACCTTGAAATGTAATGAAATATTAAGAATAGGAATCAAAACATAATTACATGTACATCAAAGTTTCAAAGTCCTTACTATTGTTAATTAAATTCCAAAGTTTTCACTGTATTAAATCAAAGTTTCAAAGTTTTTACTATAGCAAATCAAAGTTCCAAAGTTTTCACTATTAATAGAAAATTTAAGTTTTAAATGTTTATTTTGGTACTATAGTTAACTAAAGTAAACTATAGTTTACTGTAGTATTTTTTTTAAGGATATGTTCGTTTTTTTTACGCCAGCCGTGAAAAAAACCTATAAATTTCAGTTTGTCGTCTAATGTAACATTACCGACTTTCTCATCAAAATAAAACAAAAAGCCGATCAGACTACGCTGTAGTTTAATGGAAGTTTTCAATTTAAGGAGAAGTAATGAGACAAAGTATGTTTGTAAGCGTCGGGATGGGATGGGGTAGGGGTTACTCACATTAATAAATATTTTATGTTGGTTAAGGTAGGATTTTTCTCACATTTCTTGTATTTAAAAATTAGTGAAATGTTCACGGAATCAAGAGGACAATATTTGTGATGGTATCAGTAAGAATAAATTTGACCGTTTAATATTAGAGGCAAGGTCAGGTCAAGGTGATTACTTTTTTCTTGGACATTAAGGTCAGACGACACGTTCCTTAATAATATGTTTTGTATTTCTTGAAATAAGATAAAAAAATTCATATTTAGCATTCTCTCCTGATTTCTACATTGTTTTCAAAATGTTTTAAAATATAGGTACACCAAAAATGGTGAGATAGCCGTTCAGAGGATTATCCATAAGGGTAATATAAGAAATGTGAACCTTTGGTATCTTGTCCAAATGGCTGGTAAGTTACCCTTATTTTTTGCGAGGAATCTTGTTTAAGTACCTATTCTTCAATGACAATCTCTTAAGAAAAATTATATATTCTTGAGGAACGTGTCGTCTGAACTTAACATTAAACCAGAAATCTCTGTCAAGACTGTAGCTCTACTGGTTTGTACTTATAACAAAGGATGAGAAAAGAAGCCATTACCATCAGACCAAAACTGTAGAAGGAGTATCGTTTTAAAGGAATTTCACAGAAATTTCTACTTCTACTAATACTGGCAACCTTGTTCATCAAAATCAAAAACTGATGCACTATTTTATGTATCTTAGTGTAGTCTACTTGTGTGTCAAGTTATATTGAAATCAGACAAAAATTGTAGTATTTTAGTAGTAGTAGTATTTTAAAGAAATTTCTCAGAAAATTTAATTTTTAGTAAACATGGCAACACTGTTCATCGAAATAATAACCGATGAAATATCCTATGTATCTTAGTGTGGTATATTTGTGTGCCAAGTTATATTGAAATCAGACCAAAACTGTTGGAGGAGTAGCGTGTAAAAAAATTGTTTACAGACAGACGGACAGCTAGACGGACAGACGCAGTACTATCGCATAAGTTCTTCTAGTCTCTGACCAGTAGAGCTAAAAATTACTGTTTCCAATAATGCGATCCCTACTTGTAGTTCAAAAGATTAAATTTTTTTAAAATTTTTGCACAAAAAGATACTACCATATAGGGCTTATAAGAGGGTATTACCAAACTGACATGGGTAATTTAAATAAAATGGATATATGCTAATCCGAATATCCTCTATTTTTCTTAATTTTTTAGCATTTATTAGTTATTTTTATATGCTTCCTATACATGTATTTAAATTTTTCCAATTTTCACATATAGTAAAGTTGGGACATAAAGGTACAAAATGATACAAAAACTAACAGTTTTGATAGTTTACTAAGATAACACTTTTTACGGATTTTTGGCTCAAATCTGTACTTGGATTTGAAGCATTTAAAAGCAAACATAGTTCTAGTATGCGTGAAAAATCTTATTTATTTGATATATTTTGAAAATTTAGTCCCTTATTATTAATTTAACTTACATTTGAAAATTTCTTCTAGTCTTTGATTGCGTAAAAATTATAACTAAATTCAATGTTCTATAATAATTATGAGAGGCAGAAAAGAAGATATTTTCATACGCCACCATTACGCCAAAAATATAGTCCCTGCTAGTTTTCAAACGCAGTTTACAGTTTCTATTTCAAGTTGTATAATTGTGATGAGGAAAGAAAAATATTGTCTTTTAAACCTCTTACATCTAAATATATGACATATCAACAAATATACTTTGAATATTCCATCTAGTCAGAAACCAGAGAAGAACCCTTCTTAAGTTAAATATTTCTTTAATGTTTTTGGGAAGATTAGGGATTTTTTATTCTCCTTTTTTGGAGGCCCTCATCTTTACTTGGAAAATTTTGCCACAGACTTGCTTTATATGCAACTTACGTTTCTTTTTATCATCTATATTACATGTGCTACCCAGGGTCTTAAAGTAACTATTTCCAATCAAAGTATTGTTTTTTTATAAAGATAAAAAAAAATGAAAATTTATTAGATGTCATTGCAATAAAAACTCTAGCTCGTGCTTATTTTTGCCACTTAGACAGCACACAGAAAGACTTCTGTGTTTCTTTCTTTCCTTGTATTTGTGTTACTTTTTATGTATAGAATCAGATGAGCTAGTGACCATGTGGAATCGATTTAACATCTAATTATGTAGCGCCAAGAAT